AATTGGATAATAATGCTGACCTTAAGAGGTTTGCTGAAACTTTGGAAAAGGTGTGCATTGATACCATTGAATCCGGACACATGACTAAGGATTTGGCCATTTGCATTAAGGGCATGAATAAAGTCGAACGTAAAGATTATATGGAAACCTTTGAATTTCTAGATAAATTGGCTGACAATTTAAAAAAAGCCTGGTCTCACTGACTAAGCCGAGATAATAGCGTTGAATATAAAAAATCTCATCTCTAACTACATTTCGATGTTACGATGGCCAGTTAGTCTCACTCTCGGAACATATATGGTGGATGGTGGTTAACGCGTTATTTTCCATTTACGTTATTTTCTATTGAGGCTTTTTATATCGCTTAAGAAGTGCTTGTTTAGCGTTTTGTAATATGCTTTCAAATAAATTTTCTAAAAATTTTTATACCGAATCCCACAAAATGTTTTTTTTTTAAATCGATGCATAAGTTTACGAAAGTTTTATGTGCTTTGGAGACTCGCTACATCATGGTAGGACGATAGAAATTCTAATAGAGTATCTTGTTAATTGTAGGTGTGCCAAGACGTGAACTAAGGTTCAAATCGCTGCCCCAGATACCGCCACTTATTCCCCAGATCTGATTCGCAGCGGCTACTATATATATGTTCGCAACTCATAAAAGACTCGATTTTGAAGGTCTTGACAAATCATTAAATAACTTTACATTAATATAACATATTCGGTCGTGGCCGAATCTTTTATACTCATCAACCTTATCCTAAAAGGGCAAAAAGAGTAAACAAACTAAATTTTCATATTCTATAATATGTGGAATGGGCGCGGCCGGTTTTTTTAAAAGTTCAAGTCAATTCTAAATTATTTTGCAAATTTGTAGGCGATGTCTTCGTTTTCGCTAACAGAAGAATATTTACCGCAAATACTACACTACAGTTGCGCAGACAGACAGATGAACAGACGGACAAACGAACATGTTTGCGTGCATTATAAATTTGAAACTGGCCCAAGAGTTTATATACATTATGAGACTTTTGAACACTGCTTCTACCTTATGAAGGTATTGAAAAAAATAATAAAATTTTGATACTCTATAACACTGAGTGGGCGTGGTCTGTTTTTTTCTATTTTTACTCAGATGCTACACCATCGTCCATGGAATATATCTGGGAATTTTTGTACATTTTTCTGCTACGCTTTATAAGTAATAAGCAAAGTAGCAATTGTTTTATACCTTCTGTGAGGTGTTCATAGTTTAGGGGGTGATGTGGGCATATCTTTCGATCGATTTGGGCCGTTTTCAATATCAACATGCGCGCAAGAATTTCCAATGTTTCTGCCAAATTTGAAGTCGATAGTTTCACTTTTGCAGCCACCAGAATTTGTACAATAGACACTACGCAACGGACAGACGGACATGTATTCGATGCTGATCAAGAATATATCTTCCTTCTGGGCGTTGCAAACGTTTTGGCAAAATGAATATACCCCTCATCCTTCGGCGATGCGTATAAAAGTGTCATCGAAACGTTAGAGAAAGTTTTGACTAAATAATTCTCTGAACGGAGAATAAGTTGTTGAATAAAATCAAAGTTTGGCCAAAAAAAAAGAAAATAATAAAAATTTTCTTCTACGCGCTCGTCCAATTTATTGACCAAAATTACAAAGCTGAAAATTAGCATATACACGTTTAGTCAATGGTCATTGATCGAGTTCGAAAATTGATGTAACTCACTCCTATAATACTATAAATGCCGTAAATCGTGGCAAATTTCGGACTAAAACTTCATAAGAACCATCTCGAGTGTCAATGAAACAAAAGAGTGCTATGCCTGCCTTTTAACGCATTGAGACTTACCGCTCATTACGATTATTCATTTAAAATATGGCACAAATATTTGTTGGAGGGAACTAAGGAGGGCGACTCGTTCATTCAACATCCCCATGCAACAAACTAATTACAAGGGATTGAATATATTACTCGGGAATGATGGGTGTTAAAAACTCTCCTTAAAGCAAATGGCATTATTTTAACTTATTTGTAACTAACAGAAAGATGAATGAATCGAACACTCAAACCTATATATAATAAGGAATTTCATATCCATAAGTACTAAAGACTGAAGGTTCATGAACATATTTTAATTGCTAGTTTTATAATCCTCGCCACAGGTGATTCACGGCTACATGGATAGCGATCGATTCAGAATCATTTTGTAAGTCGTTTGAATTCTGTCCATCCGTCCTGTTTTCTTTTGTTTAACATACAGACTGCAGTTTTTGAGAAATTTTTCACGAAGTTTGGTACACTCACGTGTTTTGGGCCAAAGACGAACACTATTGAAAATGATTCGGATCAGACTACTTTTTCGATCACTTGCCGTATAGCGCCTTATTTTAAAAATATGTCCTATGAAGAAACGTAAATTGATGTAGGGTATTTAATAATGCTTGCGTTCACCCATTGCATTACCTTTTGTTGTTGTGTTGTTCCCTGTGTGGCCCTGTATTCTTTATTTCTCGACTATTGAGACTTGCAGTTGTACAACAATAGTCGGATATATATGTCTGCAATGGAATCTATCTGCATATTATGTATTTACTAATGCCCATGTCTATCTGGTTGACTAAAAAATAGATTAAGCTAAGATTCTTCCGTTTGCCAGTGATGAGTATATAAGTATTATAGAAGTATGCTGACAATCGACGAATATATTCTCTGACTGCATCATTTGCTTCCCTAAATATAATAAAAGCTTTTCATGACATTCTATATATCTATCTATCTATCATTATCTAATTTAAAGACAGTGTAACCCCGTCGTGTAATCCTCAAATTAAATGCTAAGAAATTGCTAACAATTGCGTAATATGATATTGTATCGAGAAATACTACATCAATATGGTTATTTACCCAAACGGAATTACCTCAAATCAATATATATATATATATATATATATATATATATAGAAAATATAGAGACTCACACACTTTTCACATTGACTTTCAACAATAACCAACGGCACGCAGCAATCACTCCCTTAACATTCAAAGGTCTTTAACCCGTTAAAAGTCTGGTTTAGTTTTGTTTTTATTCCCAATTTCACTTTTGCCCTTTGCTTTTACCACAAGCTACAATTTCTTGCATATTTTTTTATATGCAATCTACGCGCATAGGTTACACTAAATTGATTGAGCAATTTGCAACATACTGCGGTAATACACATTAGAGACTATCTAAATATATATGTATATACAAATATATATATATATATATATATATACCTGTCATCTACAAGATCGGGAAGATCCGGAAAATATATATCATGTTGTGCGTTGTACTTAAAATTTAGCAGAGGCATTCGATTTGTTGCTTACACGTCTTACCGATGTTCAGTCAACGAGATTTTAATATGTGTTATGTTATCTGCAAAATCTAAGTCTGTCATATATTAGACCCTGATTGATGATGAGTGAGTGGATGGAAAATTCATTTTAAGGCGCAGATAGTTTTCTTATTTATTTACTTTTTCGCCTTTTGTTTCGTTTTTTAAGAAATTCATCAATATATTGACCGTTATTGCGACAGAAGAAATAAAAACGTTCATAAGAATGGATACAACATAACGCAAACAACAATAACAAGTCAAAGGGACAATTTTATGGCTTCACTTTTTACATTTTAAAACGTTTAGTAAGTGGCTTTATTAGATTTACGAATAGTAAGTTCCCTACAGTCTTAACCCGTTCGAATAGCAAATAACACGTCCAAAGAGTCTTATATCAATGCGATACATTGAAGTGAAATTAAAATTTAAAAGAAAAAAAGAGAGGAAACTTTTTAAAAGAATAAGCAAGGATTAAAAGGATATGTTTATTTTTCCTCATAAAGGATTAGTGCGTCAACATTTCATTCGCATTGGCTGGTTGCTGCAAATATTCCTAATTTTATTACTGCTATCGGTGGCCGAAACATATCCGCCGAATAATAATTACCGGGATTTGGATATATGCAATCATTGGAATGGACGAAGACATTTTTTGGAATTGGGTGAACGTGGCGATTTGCATGCTCGCAATGTTACTACCTCAGCCTTCAGAGTAGGTTTTAAGGCGGCGCCTTAAGTGCGCATTAAAACGAAATTTTCTCTCTCTCTCTGTCTCGTTCTCTCTTTCTCTCTCTCTCTCTCTGTCTCGTTCTCTCTCTCTTTCTTTCTTTCTCTTTATATATGTGTGTGTGTGTTTGTGTATTACAATTATGTAAATAAAAGAAATTTCAGAGTACTCTGTTTTCACCATCTTCCACGAATAATGCTTTGAAAAATCGCACCACCACCGACATCTGGTACCAATGCAATCTCGAATTAGTTACATGTGCTGAATGCGTCATACGTATAACATTCACTCATGCCAACTTTTCAAAAACATGTGAGCGCATAGCCAATTCGGGCGTAGGCAAATCATCGATGTGCCCCTGTGAACATATACAATTCTCGGAACCGCCATATGATACGACAATATCCGGGCAGGAGTTTTGTGGTGATGGAAAAGTTTTCCGCAGCAAAACAAGAACTCTGTTGCTGAAATTCTTCTATCGTGCCACCAATAGCCATGTGTTTTCGTTGCAATACTTTTCCGAACGTAAGATGAGCCTCCTTTTTAAACGCAACACTTTTCGAAACAGATTTCGGATTATGAAGATAAGTAAAGGGTTAGCATTCTACTTATGTAATTAATTTCAAAAATTTTAGATAACTTTAGATCGTTATTTACTATTTTATTGGGCTATTAATTGGGCTGATCATGCATTTGATCTTCATGTAATTCGTCTCGACGCCACTAACAAAGAGCATTTTTGCGATCGTGAATCGCACGAACAACAGATCAGACACGTATAGATGGACATAGGTAACTCTGATCGAGACAAGCTTTACTTGTTTTATCTAAAATTTATACGAATAGAAAAAGAATTCTTATGCATTTCCATTCTTCAGTGATCAAAGTTCAAAAAAAAAAAAAAAAAAAAAAAAAAAAAAAATTTTTCTTAAGCTTACATTTTATCATTACGATATATTTAGCTGCTCGAGAAGCTATTCATCCATTGCAGTCGATGCATTCGCATATCAGTAAAGTCAGAATACAGTTAGAGTTGAAAATGTCAAAAGTCTTTCATTTTCGATAAATTTTCTCTAACGAAACTTGTTTAACAGCAGAGAACCGCATTCTTAAGGCTAATCAAGTCAACCTTCTTTCAAATTAATCATCGCCAAGACAGACGTACGTAAAGCAAAGTAATAGCCATCTAAAATCTACTTTTTTATGCAGCTATGCAGCCTTCGTTTAAACTAAGATTTAAATTAAAATTGTTGTTGCATCTGCAATTTTGCAGATATATCAATCTGAACGTCAATAAGGTTCACTTTTTCTGCAATTCAAACACGGACCAAGATCAATATTGATCGCTTTTACGGACAAAGTGGAAAATGACTTGAATGCGTAGCAAACGGCGACCTTTAAAATTTTCATATATAATATTTGCACCGATACCTTGCAATCTATAATAAATAACCATCGAAAATGGTCACCGAAAATGTGTAAATAAAAAAGGTATCGTTGTGGTACAAGTCATCGTATATAAGAATCTAGTAATATATATAGTTTAGAAATAATTGAACTATAAAGAATTATGAAACATTGCTCTTACTAATCCGAAATCTGATTAACTAACAATGGGTACACGTGTGGAGATCCTACGACATAGATAGGAATCGTAATTGCATCTAAAATTTAAACATTAACGAACTAATCGTTGATAGTTACATTCTGTTTATGTGCGCATGTGCGCACATCAGGGACAATTCCTTTATTACACTAAACGCACTTTTTGCTATTATGAAATGTTTCTGCGAGTAAAAATTTTTTGCCATATTTCCTCACCAGCTGCTTTCTATGTCTTTTTAAAAGTCGGTTAATGCAAGATTTTGTAGGTCTCCTCACGTCCCGTTATTAGTTATCAAACGAATTTTTCTGATTTCTTTATGAATTTTAATGTTTAAAGGTAATGTCAAAATTATTAGCGGCTCTCCGCGTCAAACAATTATCTCGAATTATTCAAATCAGAAAAGTATGCAAACTCAAGTAATATCAACCCCTTACTTTCCAATGACATATCCACGGGATTATGGCATTGAACATATATTGACCTGTGAGGCGGACAACTGTCATGTGCGTTTGGATTTTACCGACTTTCAGTTGGGTTTGACATCGACATTAGAGATATTCGATTCGAACGGTCAAATGTTAGACTCATACACGGGTGAACACTTCCGCCCTCCCATCATTATAAGTAGCGGCAAATCTTTGTTACTGCAATTTCGTGGTAATGGCAATACTGGTGCTGGCTTTCGAGCTGAAGTAACTTTTATATCGGTCAAGCAATTGAAAGAAGATCGTTTGCTGCCCTATACAGGTAACAGGTTGCGTACAATCCTTAAAAAAAACTTCAAGAAAAAAAAAAATTTTGTTTTCTTTTATATAGATTGCGGTGGGATGGTCTCGGGACCGGGTGGCGCCATTACTATGATGAATATGATTGAAAATTCGACCGATGTACGTTTCTTTGACTGCATTTGGATTATTAAACCGGGAAATAATTACATGATGATGAAGACGCACATATCTCTCAGGGTACAAGAGTTTCACGGTATGGCTTCGCGTTCTGATTTAACTATACGTCAAGGAACCACCTCGGATGCATTGGAAATTGAGAATGTTGTTTGGCCTAATAACGGTATGAGCAAGGAAAGTCACGTAGTACCTATATTAACCGGTTATTATATACGCTTACGTGGCGTATTCGGCATGTCTTCCAAATTGGCCATCGTCTATAGTGTCTTCAATTACTTAAGTAAGAATAATTAATTATTTTTTTCCTTCGCTATTTAACAAAACAAATGAAAATTCCATGGAATTTTTTTTTGCTTAGATTGTTACATTGGCTCAGAATTTTTGTGTGGCAACAATCATTGCATTTCCATTCGCTTACACTGTGACGGTTTTGATCATTGCGGCGATGGTAGCGACGAGCCAGACTCATGCGAAGAGGATTGGGCTCATCTGCAAAACGATCGCCGCTGGTATTCTCACAAACCAAACTATTATTTTCCTAAAATTGAGCAATATCCTGATCTGAAAACGGCTACCGGTATATTCATTGTTTCGACTTTGGGCATATTTGCCGTATTATCGGGTTGGATGGTGATATTGTACAGAATGGGCGTACGTGCTCGACATCAGAGGGAATTACAAAACCATTTGCAGACAATTAGCGAATTGCTGGGTACGAAGTGATGTTATTAGAAAATGTTGTGAATATAGTTGCTCTTCCGTTGTGTTAGATCGTCAAGAGGAAATTACACCGGATGAGCCACCTAGTTACGAGGCGCCGCCCGATTATGAAGAGGTTATCAAGATTGGCATGGAACAGGAAATGCGTCAACATATGGATCGTCCACGTCGACATCATCGTCATCGTCGTCGAAGAGAACGCGAACATTGCGATCGCGAACGGAGTTGTAGTCGTGCACCCAGCAACGCTACTGTTCAGTCATCAGTTCCTATACACTGTCACTGTGCTGAGGATAGGCCAACAACTTCGGCTGCAGCAGCAGCCGCTACAGCAACTGCACCGGTTGAGGCCCAATCACATGACAAACCGGCTGAAAATGCAATTGCGGGTAACAGTAATCAAGGCGCATCGCAAGAAATAATGCACCGTCTCGAGACAAACGCTGAAAATTGTGGTAAATTAAAATTAATTAGCATACATCACCCTACCATAATCAAAATCTCCTGCTATTCTCCTCTTCCGTATTCATCAACATGTGCATACATTTTTCTATTTACGCTTTCCATTTTAACCGCAATAAAGATGCGCGTTTACAGGTGCTACAGGCACGTCTCAGGCGTCAGAGGTGTCGACGTCGACAAGCAACGATGGCTGCAACAGGTGCAAGCACTACAAACGGGAACTTAAAACGAAATGCGCTTCGACGTCGCCAATGATCACAAATAAAATTAACAACAATAACAATAATAACTCGTAAGTTTAAATTTCAAAAAACAAACGAACCTAACCTAACTAAATAAAATCCGTTATATTATTACAAAACAATAATCAAGGTGTGCCACCAACACACAATTGGAAGAAAATTCTCGTGACTTTTGTGATGATTCCCTAAATATATCTTTAACCTTGGCCAATAACACAAATGATAGTGCAGGTGAAGTAAAATTCGACTTTTCAAATCAAAAATTAAATTATTTTGCACACACCACCCAAAAAGGAAGCGGCATAAATACGTGTGTGTTTCTTAATATAGCAAATAGTGTAGTGTATATTTGCCTGTTATTGGATTTTTTGCATTTGCAATACGATATATACGTAATTAACGTAATATTGACACGGAAGCGAAGCGTGTCATCTAAATCTGTCGATAGACTCTTTATATAGGTGTTATGTGCTAAATGTTTTAAACAAAACGGAATATAGTTTTCATAATATTTTTTGCTTGCTTTTTCTTGTATCTATTTTCGATTAACTTGCTCGATTTTTATTCATATGCAGCTACTTCGTCACGTCCGAAAAGTTCTAGTAATTGCACTGAACAAACCTATTTGAAGCGTTCTTGGATTGTGGTTAGCAATGGCTCGCATAGCTATAAAATGCCACGTTTGCGTCATACTTTTTCTTCGCCCGAACCATTTCAAATATATTGTAACGATTGGTTGAGCAACGATACGCAAAATTATGGTTCGATTTTACCATACGAGCGTAGTTTTATATCAAGCAATAACACTAGTTACTTTGGCTCCGAATTATCCCGCGATACATCCGCTTTAAGTTTCTCCGTCAAGAAACAATATCAAGCTACGACACCAACATCGCCTACTAATTCAGATTCGGGCAATATTCATCGTCAAAATACATTAGAACGGCGTCGCAAGCGTATGTTGATGTCTGAGCTGGACAGTGACGATGGCAGTAAAATATCCTGCTTCGGTAACGTAAATAAACAATTGCGAGTCCAAAGCAAACTGAAACAATCAAGTCAAATATTAAGACGTCATACACGTAGCAAATCATTTAGTAATTTAAATCAAAACCGTTCGAGAAAAGTTATGAAGCGTAGCTCATCTGTGGACTTGGTAACATCAAATCAAAGGCTTACTAATGAAATATTTCACTTAAGTGAAGCAAAAATATTTATGATTTAATTAATATATAAGAACACATCTCTCTTCAGAAATCTAAATCGAAAACATTCAATTTATTTGACAAAAAAAAGAGTTTGAAATTCTTAAAAATAAAACTAATTTGGTCCAATAAACAATAAATCACTATATTCGGAGGTTGCATGTATTTTGATCATCGAATTCTACAGGTAAAAAATGATAAAGAAATTGAAAATTAACAAGGTACATCATAACGATTGAATTCAATGATTTTTTTCTTACTCTACATAAAACAACAATTTTCCATTTAATATTACTGACTAATTCAGCGGGCGCCGGCGCTAATCATGGACCGCTCAAAATTTGCATTTTCAACCCTCATAACTTTTGCGGTTTAATTTGAAGAAATTTTCTGCCGAACCTATTTAAAAGCTTATCACAATACTGCTCCATCATATGCCAATTGATAATTTTGGTTCCAACAGTTTTTGGGAGTGGCGATTTCGATGTCAATAATAAGAAAACGGCTTGGAGGACGCACAAAGCGCGGAAACAATGAATTGCACGACTTATTGGATGAAAACTCACCTTAAACTCTCAAAGCATATTCGGACAGCTCTATCAATTGATGAATCAACTATTTCTAGACGTTTACCTACGATAAGAAAAATCGAAATTGAGGAAAAATGGTTACCTCGCACATTCACTGAAAATGCCATTCAATGAATACTTGTTGCAAGATACATTGTCGCAGCTCGAATGGGAAGCTCTGCCACACTCAGCATACTCACCAGACATTTGCGGCTCGTGATTTTTCAATTATTCAGATAGATGCAGCATGGCTTGGCTGGCACGCGAGTCCGCAAAGTTCAAGAAGTGCGAAAATGTGTCGGCAGGTGGATCGCTGCCAAAAAAATTATAAATTCTTTCGACATGATATCGCAATATTGCCAAAAATGTTGCAAAATGTTGTAAAAAATGATGGGAACTCTTGTCGATTAATATATATTGTCCCAATTTTCCACAATAAATGCCTTTTTTCAAGTGAAAAAATGGCCAAAATACATACAACCTCCTAATAATGTAATATTTACAGTTACTTATATAGGAAATTTATTGTGACAATACCTACCAACGTAAGTTAAAATGAGACAGTGTCCTTTAAAAGACCGCATCACTATTAAATATTAAACCTATTTAGGTAATATATATATAAACATATATGAACAATGCAATGACTTAGACATTCATTTCAAATACAATTAAACGTTTATGCAACAGTAACAAAATGTCTAACCTCAAAACGACTTGTTTTTTTGTTTTTTTTTTTTTTTTGTATTTATTTAATTTAACTTTATAAATTAATTAACAGAATTCAGCTATAGCGAAGACTCAGCCGAATGGCGCAACTCATGCACTTGAAGATTTAACCTAATTTAACAATTCGAGTAGAAAAAGGTCTTGAAACGACTGACATTTAGCACAATCATACAAGAAGATAAACAACGTATCTATCAATTACTCGTCAAACTTCCTATTAGGATTTCGTAAAGTAGGTTTTAATTATTAGTTTAGGTAAGATGTCGAAAGTGCGCAGGTATTAGGAAGTAAAGTCTTAATGCAAGCAACAGGATCCGATAGGGAAATTCGATCATAAATCTCATTTAGATTGCTTCAAAGAGGCCTAAGCGAATTGAAAAGCTCATAATTTAACCTGGATTGGCTAAGTTTAATAATAAAAAGAAAATGTCTTGTCGGACGGACAGGAACATTAACATTAATTGCACTTAACAAAAGCGGCGATTCCGTGGCGCCGTTAATCGGCTTTATCATGAAAGTATTGTCCAATACCATCCTACATTCCGCAAGTGACGGCAACGATAGAAGTATCAACTTACTTTCATAAGGGGGTTGAGGAATTTCGCAGCGCAAGAAGCAGAACCTGTTTCGGCAAAGATTGTATGGAATTGATATGGCAACGATACGACGGTGACCATACGACCGAGGCGTATTCCAATACAAGGCGTCCTAAGCGGACGTATAGTCTTCCCGTCACAGATGAGTCGTCAAATTCCCTCGACGAGCGTTTGACGAAGCCTAACACTGATCTAGCTTCATTCACAGAGTGTTCAACATGCAAATTGAATCGAAATTTACGATCAAACACGATACCAAGGTGCCGAAATGAATATACACTCTCCAACCTAAGTGGATCTATAAAATATTCTATTAAGAACGAAGTTCCGCCTCGAAAATGGCAGCGTCTTACATTTCTTTTGATTTGATTATACAGACCATTGGAGGAACACCACGTTACCAAATTAATAGAGAAGAGAAAAGAAGCAAGAACAGTTTGATGGGATATAGACAGATTCAATAACTAACGGAAAATCATTGATGTATAGAATAAACAGAATAGGTTCCAAGTGACACTTAATAAAAGCACTTGTAAAGCACTCAAAATGATCTATCATCTGGACAGGAGGACAACCAATTAACAAAATATGAAGAGAAACTTAAGCCACACAATTTATGGTTAATTCTATCAAAGGCCTTGTCTAAATCAATGTAGATAAATTTCGTTTGTGCGTCCTTGGAAAGGACAACAAATACATGACAAGCAAAGTCAGGAGAGTTTGTGTTCTAGGTGTTCTAATTACCCTTTCAAAATGCATGCTAGCACGGAGCGATGACGGATTTAATAGTGAAGTTAATCCGAGATGTAATAATACGTTCAAAGAGTTTAGGCGAAACACTAAGTTTGGCAATTCCTCTTTAGTTTGCAACATGATGCCTCATTATCACTTTTATAAAGTGGAAGAATAAAACTAGTTTTTCAAGAAGCTGGAAACGCATCCAATACAAGAGAACGATTGAAAAAGAATGCAATAATCCGACAAAGCTCATCTGCGCAGTCTTTGAGAACAGACGAGGGAAGTCCATCCGTAAGCGGCATACAACTATACTTTAAGGACCGTAGTCCTTGTAGGACTTCATTTTCAGTAGATAATTTTTGTTGGGATGAATACGCATTCAATCAGCTGGTACGGATATGGCCGGAAGGAATTACAATTGCTAGAGATGAAATTACATTGAAAGAAGTTAGCAAACAAAATTAAAATCATACCTCCATCCGACGTTTCGCAACCATTCAAAGACAGAACCGAAGGTAATGTCATAACTTTTGTCTTAGGCCTTCCCCGACTTAAGAACACTATCGTCCTGCTATTAAATACCCTACGCCAGATTGTCTAACACAATTCTTATTTTTATTATAGTATATCATATGTTTCGATATGAAGGCATATTTTTCAAGTATGCATTCATGGGGAAGCCAGGCACAAAACACAACTTAATATAGTGCCAGTTTATTTTTTACATAAAGCAGGATCCAAACATAGGCTTAGATGGGCCAAATTTTGTAGATTTCAGTTTTGTATGACATTACTATTATGATATAATTTTCCTCATGAAGCATTGAAAATTATAACTTTTTGTCGCAGGAACCGCAGTCTTCATTATATGACAGGGTGTTCAAAAATTGCCCTAGCCGATCGAAAATGTTCATTCCCATTTAAAAAGCCGAAAGACTACTGCTTAGCTATTTTTGCTAAGAAATTTTCAAAAATTACAATTTTTTTCCATATAACGACTTTTCAGAGTATCGGAAGTGGTTGAAAAAGTGGTTCAGACTTCAGACGGACGGACAAGCTTAAATCAATTCAGACTACGATTCTGAATCAATCGGTATAACAAAAGATGGATCCATCTTAAGCCCTTCTGCGTGTTACATACGTCCGCACTGACTCAATATACCCGGTACCACAAATGGTGTAGGGTATAATGACAATCCTCTCATTACATTATGTATTTATATTTTGAAGATAATTTATATAAACGATGTCCAAAAGATCACACGATTTCCGCAGATCCCCGATCGCAACTCTAATTAATTCTTTTTCTATTTTATTTATTTTAATGCGACGGACAAAAACCAAGTATAGATATCTTTTTTTTTTTTTTTTTTTTTTTTGTTTTTTTTTTTTTTAATACATTTAACTTTATTTTGAATTTCGTATATTAGGTGTGAATATATTTCATATTAATTTTCATCTTTATTTTCTTACATTTCACGAGTATTTAAAAGTGCAAAAAATTTTTATATCCATATTAAATATAGCAAAGGCAATGAGATAATGTTCTAAATGCTTTTAAACCTCGCAATTAAACAAAGAGAAGAGAGAATGTCAAGCAAATAAATTAAATGAAAATAAAATATAAATTAAAAAAATTAAATATTATTTACTAAACTGAAATCTTTGTTATTTTTTTTACATATTTGGGAAGGAAATATTTTTTATCAAATATATATATATACGAGGACTAGGTAAGCGGCACTTGGCAACTTGCTTTACCTAACCTAACCTAACCTAACCTAACCTAACATAAACATAAAAGACGCAAATACGACAATTATATTTCTGTTATTTTTGCATATGTATGGATATATAGGTGTCGGGTTTTGGCTGATACATAACACGCGTTTAGATGGCATTTAGAAATATTTGCACTTTATTTTTAAAGTTTGTATTTCTTTGCCTACTTATGTCCCTTTTTAAAGAATGAGTATATCAGGTGCGAGAATTTGATCAACCCCTGAAAAGCCCAACGCACCAATAAATAATATAAAGGGTAGATTTTTGCTTTCAAAGTTTTTTTTTTTTTAAATTGTATACCAGCTTGTAAAACAATTTGGCTAATTTTGAAACTATGCGGTCGAGTCGTAAGTAACTTCGGATACAGCTAGCTAGAATCTATTGTTCGTATATACCCACTTACATTTAAGTCAACGAAAGAAACGAATTTTTGTTTTCACTATATAGATGAGAATTCAGTTAATCTTATGTAAATTAATTGTTTTAAGTGGTGCATGTTACATTTGACACCAATTCGACTCACTTGAGTGGGGAATCAAAAAATGCATATTCGACATGTAACGCTTTGGGTATTTAAACAAGGCAATAATGCTAAGGCGATAGCTGAAAAAATATGCACCGTATACGGTGAAGGAGAAGAAATTGATTTGAAAAATTCCATCCTGGAGATACGACCTTAAACGACGGTACGTGCTTCCAATTTTGGCGGCAATCTTTTAAAGGCAATATTGGTACAAAATCCACGCCCTCCAACAATGGGTATAGCAAAATTAGGGGTTGAATACCTCACAAATAACTGTCAAATTAACATAATTTTGTTATTCAATGAAAACGAAACAAGAGTAAGTTACTTCTGACTCGACCTAATAGTTTAGGGAAAATGCAAAACGAAAATTGAGATAAAAATTGTCTTTATATGTGTATTGCATATGGTTTCGCAATATATAGCGTATTTTATATACAATAAACTCTAAAAACAGACGGAGCAAAAAGGCTATATTCGATTTGAACAAAATCTTTTTACTTCCATCTGTAGTGTACTTAAAAAAAAAAAAAAATTCTTACATAATTTGTGCGGAAAGTATGAAAGCGCAGTATCCAATATATAGAAGAATGCTCATGAAGAAATTTATCTCAGTATTAAGATGAACTCACAACTTGTCGATTGGGACAACTTTTGAATGCTAAGTATCAGATCCGTATTCTACCCAAGTTTATAACTTTTTTCAACGCCTGTTTTCTAATGCATTTGATAACGAAATTTTGAAGAATTTGCATACAAAAGTGATAACCAATATCATGTTTTCAAGTTTTAAATTTTTTCAATAACAATCAGTTTTGAATGTAAATAAATCGATTTAAATAGTTTTCAACTTCCCAAAGCCATATATTCTTTGGAAAAATGTCTACGGGCAGAGAGAAAAAAAAAAGAAAAGAAAATCTAAAAATTTTAATTATAAAACAAAAACATTAACATGTGAGAATATATGGTCAAGTGAATAAAATTGTTAATTTAATTTATAATAATAAATTTTATAAAGGAATGATAAGAGTCTTTGTTGCAGAAAAAAATTTGCTTATAAGATACAATAATCGAACAATGTTGAAACAGTGCTGTGTCGTTTTAAAAGTTTCTCATCTGATAAAACTAAATTAAAAAAAGCATTCAATTTTTTTTTTTTTTTTTTCTTTCAATTAATTGCTAATAAAACGTAATGTGTAAAAACAATTAAGAAATTTACATTACATTAGATTTGGAGCAAATGCAGCGTACCACTCGTCTCAGAAATTTTCCTGTCAATTCTTCAACGATAATTTGATTTTAATAAATCAATGGAAACAAATTTCAAATCGATACTTGCTGTAGGATCCGCAGACTATATGTAACTATATAATACTGGCATTTTCTAATGTTTATGTGCCGATCCGAAAGTAATGCACTCACATTTTGCGACCACGTGAATATTTACCCAAGACATTACACGGGCAGACGGACCCGAGAAATGAACACGCTTCTTTGATACTAATCAAGAATATACATACTGTTTTTGGGGGAAGGAGGGGGGTGTCTCTGAAGCTTCTTTCGGGACGTTGCGAACGTTGTGGCAACATGAATATACCCCCATTCTTCGGAGCCAACGATACTTAATCACTTAATCAAAAAAAAGAACGATTTGTTTATGAAGAAATCATAAAATATTTCCAATCCTTTCTTGTAATCTTTTACATTATTTTGCTCGAGTTTAAGAAAATTGAGGAAGAAATACCATAGAGGATTAAAACAGGATGTTATCGACAATCCAAATTCGGACAATTCAGAATTTCAAAAGACGATGACTTTCATAAGACGAAAAGTTAATCCCTATGTTGCGTGGGCAATTCTTTTATGTTAAAAAAACAAATCGGGGGAGATCTTAATTTAAATTTACATCATGAAATTGTATTAGAGGGTAAAATTCGTCTCCAATTAACAAAACAGCGTATATGAATGGATACACTTTAAGTTTTAGTATTAGTTTGTATAATGCTGCTGGCAGACTGAATAAAAATATATATGTAATTACAAATATAGCATTAATCGCATATTAATGCCATCTTTCCTCGATGTAGCAATCAAATATTGTTAAAATATATATATATATATATATATATGTATATACATTTATTCAGAGACAACCGCATATATACGATGCATTTATCTAAATTCCTTGAAGATTATTGCCGTGTAGTAGTGGCCATTCAAAAATTCAATTTATAAGTCTCTCTTTCTAGCTCTAGCTCTAGCTCTGTCTCTCTCTCTCTCCTTACGATACTAGTCTAAAAGATTTGCAGAGATCTGATAGGTAGGAGTTCGAATTTCGTTAATTTGAATTTTATATAAATGTTTCTTTGAAATGAGAAAGATTGATGCGATTTTAATCAATATTGCGTGTATTCACTACCATACCTATTTATGCTTATATTTAAATGCTTAATTTATTTTTCGAAATATGTATTGTTGCATGTGTATGTATTTTCTTTTTTCTAATAACGTTGATTCATGTTTGCTTGTATAGTTAAATGGAGAGAATTTTTCATTTTTCATTTTTTTTTTTTTTTTTTTTTTTGGGTTTTGCAAATCACATAAATTGTATGTATTGTATTTAGTATATTGTGGAGGCATATATATGTAATCAATGCTTTCTGGTTAATAAGCATTTAAAAGTGAAAAGTGGATATTTTCTAATACACTTTCCTTTTTTCATTTTTTCTTTTTTTTCTTGTGCTTTGTTAACATTTATTTATCGTTTATTAAAATTTTTCCACTGGCCTCTAACGGTACAACGATGTTACGCAAACTATCGATACTGTTACGCAAACGGGTAGCTTGAAATTTCGTTTGCAATTTCGGTGAGTTGCTTACTGAAAAAGCCTTAAATTCCTAAAAAGACAAAAATCAAAGAAAAACAGAGACACAGAAGCTTTAAGATTTAAAATAACGTACCACGCATTCGAACGTGTAAATTTATTAAGAAAAGTAAAACTGTATTAATGAAAAAAGCGTGTCAATGCGTAGAGCATAACCAAACATAAAAAAAATAAATAGCAATCGATTATTCAAAAAAAAAAAAAAAAAAAAATGATTGTATAACTTAAACTGATATAAATGATATGGTATTTGATGTGGGATCGATTTAAGAAATATTTAAGATTATAATGAAACTTAAAATAAAGTAGAACGACAAATAGGGAGCTTTCCACTTTGATAAGGAATTAGAAAAACATAAGGAAAAAAGCATAATAATAAATAACGAAAGGGACATCGTTTATGTTTATTTTTTATGGAGTCATTAATCGTTTAGCTTTTCAAGCTTTTCTTGCTTTACGCAATATCGAATGACACTTTTTAGTAAAGCCGCAAAGGCAGTTCGATGCAACCGCGTTTTGTATTTGAACGAAACGGAACATGTGATATGTGTTTATAGTAAACAAAAGAGTTTTAGTGTGCAACATTGTACATAAAATTGTTTCCAAGTTTATGCATTAAATTACTTCGCTTTTTTTTTTTTTTTTTTTTTTTTTTTTTTTGAGAGGGGGGTGGGAGCGGTTGGTAATTGTGCAGAGATAAAATATTGCCTAAGATACCTGATGACCGCTGGGAGAATTGGTTTCACTGCCTGCAGATGACATAAATGACTGAAATGTGGCTTGTGCTTCTCGGCCAGTGCGCGTTGCGACCTTTTCTTGCAGAGTATTTAGCGTTTTCGATAACCACGGTTGCCAGCTATTTCGATTCGTATGCATTTCTGTAATGGTAGTGCTCAATTGATGATTGAGATCCTGATTTTTGCATTCCGCTTCAACCTGAGCCAATTTCGCTCGAGCCAACTCCAATTCCAATTCCCGTATACGTTGCAATGCCGTATGCAGAGGGTCCAAAGGACCTAATGGAGCATCATTGTAATGTTTGATGGCCGTAAGTGACAAGCGGTTATCAATTGATTTCGAAGATGCGGCTTCGCATTTGACATATTGTGAATCATAATGTTTTGAGCAAATATTACACTTGGACACAACATTCTATAATTATAAAAGAGACATTTACATTTCTCACTATTGATAAATCCTGACTTACTCGAAAGTTGACCAAACTTTCATTTAATGTTGTTATATCCTGCTCCAAGCGTTGAATAATTTGCTTATAGTCCTGTATAATGCCTGTATGTTTTCGCTCCTTTTCAATGGCACGTTCATTGGCCTCTGCCAGTTTTTGTTGCATATCAACAATTTCACTTTGAAGTTTGCGACGTTCTTCACCAAAACGATTCTCATAGATCTGTGCTTCCTTCTCTATACGCTCTTTATCTTGCTTCTTTAGCATAAACTCGTCTTCGTAATGCCTAAGCTTTTTAATTTTACGCTCACAGGCCATTTTCATAATACGCCTAGCCTGGCTAGAACTACGACATTTTTTGGGCAAAGTGACACGGAAATATTTTAAAATGCCTTCAAAATCGAGTTGTCGTAAATCATTTTCGCAAATTGACAATAACGTAATGGCTACTTGGAATAACAATGGCAGCCCGTCTAAAAGAAATACATCCAATACGTGGAATACGAAACACAAGGGAAAGCGAGCAGTGAATAAGGTAAGAAACCATTGCGAGGCATACATGTGTGTTTCAATGCCACAGGCCACAAAATGTTCATGTAATTTAGGCAAGTGATCTTTAATCAGACGTTCTAGCTGATAGAGGCGTAAATAGAGAACTTCAAATCCCTGTTTGTAGAGATCACGTAAACCATAATCATACATCAATGAGACCAAAACGCAAAAAGCATCTTCCTCTGGCATCTATAAAAAAAAAATGCAGTCGTTAAGAACATAATAAAAATAGAGAATTAACATTGACTTACGTGCAGCAGCAAACTGGCGGCTATGAAACTTAAACCTTGACAATATCCTACTTCCTTATCGTAAACCGCGTAGGCCTTTGACACCTTGAAAAGAGAGTCTTGGCCTAAAAGTGATTGTAACTTTATAGTATTATACGTTTCTCGATCTTTTCGCATGGGTACCAACCTGAACCACCACTTTCCTTAAAGCATTTATGAGCTGGAAATGTTCGATGTATGTCACGTTGTATTACGGTTTCACACTTTGTTTCCTATTGAAAGAGAGGAAAGTTTCATATTTTAAAAAATACTCTATCTATCACAGGCGATAAACATTACTTTGGTTATTAATATCTTGTACATATCATTCATTTCGGTTTTAGACTCGATACTTGCTAATTTTTGCCAGATTTTTTCACGTAATGCTTCTGGCACACCCAACCGCACTAAATTAGCCAGATTTTTTGGCCTTTTTTCACCATCCCATTCCTTGAGTATCGGATCCCATTCATCAAGCGTATCCTGCGAGCAATCTTTAGACACCTCGCCCGTACCGCTAAGCAATGGTTCGTCGCCATCCGATAACTCATCGTTATCGCTCGGGCACTCATCCTCTATCGAAGCAATTGATGAAGAGCGTACAATGCGCGACAAATTGTTCATACCGATTTTTAACAAATACGACGAAGAAGAAGAACCCGTCTGTTGCGGTTGTTCAATGATTTCTTCGGAAGGATCTATAGAATTAACTTTCCAACTAAAATCATCAGTGGTACGTTTCAAATGCAAATAGAAACCCAACGTCATGGGACGCTTTGGTATAAAATGGTCCCTAATGCGCAATTCGCCGGCTGATTGTATAGTGACTGGTGTTTCTATAACAAATCGTACGGGCTCTTGTATTCCTCGCATTACGATGTCTACTGCTACGGTTAGGAACGTTTTCGACGTTTCTACGTTTAACTGTTCGAAAGCTTTTTCACCAGCCTTCCATTCAGCGCGTATGTAATACGGATTTAATGGAAGTGACGTATTGACCGGTATTGATATATCACCACTACCCACTGACGATGCTTGCTGTTGCAAATAGCCCATGCCTATCATATCAATTAGACGCATATCTGCTTGACGCACCAATTTCCCAGGACTTAACAAAACACCAAAACAACGTTCTATGAAGAGAGGTTGTAAAACAGTAGACGGAGTCTGTTTAACGGTAATGTACACCTCCTTATCAGTATTGGCACGGAGCTTGAAGCAATTACGATCACGTGGCACCGGAGAAAAGGAGTTCTTCGCCATTTTCTCCCGTATCTCTAACGAAACAATGAATTCATAGCCAGCCGTGCTCAAAAGGTTGCCGCTAACATCTGACGTAACTGAATTGATCATATTACTATCCACGGCCGAAGTTAAACTGCAAGTCATGCTGGGAGGATATGCGTTAAAGGCCTTTTGAAAACAAGCTAAAGACCATAAAGAATACTTTCTAATTTATACCCAACGAAGGAATATATATGACGCGAGCATAACACTTACCGCTAACTTGATCGACGGCTTCGGGAATATGGCAACGAAATACGTAGCATAGAAACAAAGATTCACCATGTAGCCAAGTGAAGGCAAAACAACCATGTTCGACAGTTTCAATAGGACCGCGAAAATATAAAATAATACTTTGAATTTCATACCTGGCTATAATGCTATTAGTTTCAGCGTCATGTAAACTATATATTAAATAAAGGTTTCATCAATGTAGACATAATTGATAAAAAAAATGAATAAGGATTATGAACTTACACCACTAAACCGTCGGAGCAGTTCGGTATACTAATAGAGATTTTTACACCTTCCGAACAAGACCCGCTATTTAATTCGCTCATTATTCGGTATACTTCACCTTCTGATTTAGGAGCGTTAATATTAGATCTTCCTAAATAAGTAACGCCGGAGAAAATTGTGCAACCTTGATCAATTTCTGAAACTGTCGATAGAAACGCATGTATATGTACGTCGTAAAAGACTCTATTTGAATCAGGAAAGAAACGAAATAAATAAACACTTACTCTCTTCATCGGTGTCGTTTTTTTCCGGTTTCATAATGTCCTGCTTTTCCTTAATCTCTTGACTGTCGCCAGAAGCTCGGTCAACAGTCGCTACTCGTACAGCTGCTGTGGCCGAGTCCATGCAATCATAAAATACTGACTGGCCTACACGATTCATTTCTGAGGTGGAATCGTCGCTCTTCGGTGTTGGTGTACTTTTTGCCCCGCAATAAGATAAAGAAGTCTTTGTTTTCATATTACTTGCAATCAAATCAGTATCGAGTTCGTTAGTTTTATCTGGCACAACTAAGATTGGACTTGAAGTTCCAATTAAAGGTAACGTTAAGGATTTTTGTTTTAACGTTACGTTACGATTTGCGATGACTATAAATGCAAACGTGAGCAAAAAAATATATTCCATTAATTAAAAACTAAATACATAAAGAAAACGAATAGAAGAGGTTTTAAGGGGCGTTATTTGATAACGATATTACTATAGAAACCAATTGGGTATATGCATAAGTGTGCTCAGCTGTTTATTGCTAAACAGGTCAATGTTTTTTATGCTTAACAATAAATACGTTGGTCGATAAACCAATCAAGTAAACAAAGCAAAATGATTGCTAAGTGAGAAAATAGTTAAATATGTAAATAGTACACCTCGAGCTACTTAACCTGCCCAATCAAAGCAACGAATTCACTTTCTTAAAAATTAATACATTATTATAGTTCATCCCATCTATCAGGGTAATGCTATTGTACTGCTTACCGTCGCACGATTTATCTGATTCCAGATCTTTTAAGGCATCAGTCATTGCATGTTGCAAATCTGATATATTACGATTATTAGCAATATTCAATGATGGTTGTACGTCAAGAGGTGTGGCCACATTACTATCGGTAACGATTTCATATTCTCCACTTGTGGTTATTGATGATTCTGATGATTTCGTACTTAAGTTGTCATCCATATTATAAATTTAAACAACAACAAAAACAATGAAGTGTTATGAGAAATATACAAGTACGCAAATCGAAAATTGTCGCATATAATTTGAAAGTTGTGTAGGCATTCAGATCAATTGTTCATTTTGACTAAATCGATTGAAAATTTGGTACAAATTTTTTTTTTTACTTCAATGACTACGACGGTATGATTAGGTCCCTTTTTCCCTTTTACATCCAAAATGTTTTATTATTAAATTTCTTCATCATTTATTTGATCAACAATTGGAAGAGATTCTTTCAAATTCTCTTTCAAACGCCATGCAAGATATTTTTTATTTAATATTTTCTACCCGATCTTTTTTTCAAAAAAAAAAAGCCAAAACAAAATACTCGCGTTTTTATTGTGTTGCAAATTTTTTTCCTACTTGAAGGAAATTCTTATTCGCTGACAGAAAGTTGACAGAGCTGCCAACTTCACATTTATTTTATACCGTGCAAAGCAGTAGAAACAAAGTAATATCGCAGCGAACATTCAAACATTCAAACTTACGGCAATGCAATATAATGTTAAATTTCAAAAGTAACCTTCATCAATATCAAAAATCTGTAAAAAACATCTATATAGGAATTAGCAAAATTTGTGAACTATGTATAATTTTAGAAAAATTCATTTTAAAGGTTACCAAAATAATTCCGAAATACATAACTTAATGCGAATAAAAAAAAACATCTCTCCAATGTAAAATGAAGCCTAATTTCCAAAGCGACCAAAGAACATACTCTCAAACCAGTCCCTACTTAAGTAGATATATATGCAGTAACCTATGTTTACCTCTCAGATTTGAGTGCGGACGTATAATGTTTATATATCACTAATCTCCAATTATTCTATCGACGAACAAGCTTGTATTAAATTACTAGAAATTGCGTTCATTCTCTTTTTTAAATATTTATGGACTTTTTACTTAAAAGTAATAGCTAATTGCAAAAGGGTCTTTTTTTGGATGTTGACTTAAGATGGACCGAACCAATAAATTTGTGGCTTATATGTCCAGATAATAAACAGTAGCAATTATTAACAAGAAATGCATATAAAACACAACAAATAGCTAAAGCCGATATGTTAAGTTTAATATTAGATTGTTGAGTTTTTGAAAGTAAACGTAAAAGAAAGTGTTGCAAACTTTGGCTGAAACCAAAAGAGGAAGGTTATAGAGATAAAATATGATTGAACGTAAAACAAAAAAATGCAAAAATCATGCATTAAAAAGATAATTTCGCTTTTCAAATAAAGTAAATTAGTTCTTTGAGATGGCGTACATTTTTTGCTGCAAAGAGATCGAGGGGGTCACCGTATAATTTGAAGAAGCCAAAAAAACTCCTAATACCATCAAGCTTATGACATCTAAAAATTAGATGCTCAACAAACTCGCTAATATTACAAACTTCATAAAGGTCACATGGTATAGCGCGAATCATTTTTAAATATACTATATCATGAGTAAGTGAGCACTCATGAATCTATGAAGAATTTTGATTTCCCAGGAATTAAAGGAAGCCTCTGATAAGGGTTTAAATTGAAATGTGGAATTTATTTTATAGAAAAGGCGATTGGATTTAACACTCGCAATCTCTTTAAGTTCATCATTTAGTTGTTAAAAGATATGGTTAGGAATTGCCCGTATTGCTTCATTGGGAGCATATTTAATGGATGAAATTGTCCCATCAACTTTAGCGCTTTTTACGTGAAAGTCAGATTTTTCATAAAAAAAAGCCTTAGTGACCAAGTATCTAAGCAAGATGACAATCAGCCACTTGAGATTCATGCAACATCCTGTGTATATCAAACATATATCGATTATCTGCATCTTTTTTATTTATTAGAAGCAGAGCTGACGTACTATCAGAAAAAAATATTTTGATATGATAACATCAATAATGGCCACCCTAATAGCATGTCTGAGGGGAAGCAATTCAATAAAAGTAGAGGAAAATTTCTCCGCAACTTTGACATTATGTACTATTTTAGACACATACTTCACTACCGAGAAACTAGATACATTATGTTCAAAGGAGCGGAACAAGTGGCATATATATCATAGCCGTTGTTGTCATAAAGAAGGTTTTCTTGCCATAAAATCTCCATACAAGAGCGATTAACATTTTGCTTCGAGGAAGAGATCGATTCAAGAATGTTCATGAAGACTCTACATTTATTAGTAACAATATCCCAGGGGGGATTGAATTTATCTTGTCAGAAATATGACACAGTTTTTGATAATAAAATGTGTGTCTGCAAGAAACAGCATCGCTAAGAGATATGACTTTCTAAGAGAAGAAAGGATTCATTACCTTGACGTTAATTAACTCCTCAGCGGTACAAAAAAGAGTTCTTTCGGAAACGGGCCATTCACCACAAATGACATTGAGAATACAAAATCTTAACATTCTATTTTGAAATTTCTTTGTACGTTTCTCAGTATATTTTGAGAAATTACAAGATGTGGAACACAGTCACAGTCATATTTAGCGAGATTAACACAATGAAACAGTTTTTCTTCAAATTCCTGAACAAGATTCAGAGAGATCATCGGACGAACACATTCTTTAATCGCAGAAATTAATCTGTCATATTCCGAAGAACTCAGATTGTTGTTCGAAATCACTGGTCGCTGAGATCTTGTTACAAGCGGATGCACTTTTCAATACAGGTTGTCAAGAAGGTTCGAGAGAAGAAAACTGAAAAATAAACAAAAAAATTTGTTCTATAACTTATGCAAGTGAACACTTGAAACAACATGACATTTAGCAAATGGCAGTAGACAAATTTTTTCTGGCGTACTTTTCTGTGTTAGTGAAAAAGTAAAAGCCTATAGTTAGAAAAAAAAAGTTAAAAAAGAAGAGAACTTCTTGAAAATAAGCTAAAATAAACAAGTAAGAACATTATAATCGGGCAAGGTCGACCATTAAATATCTTACACGACATTGTGTGACGCAATTGTTATTTTTATTCTAGAACACAAAAATGATATCTTGTTTCTATAAAAGGCACATTTTTATTGTGCGCATTTATGGGGAAGCGACCCAAAACGCAACCTAATATAGTACAAGTTTAATCTTTACATAGGGCAGGACTCAAATATAGGCGTAGATGGTCCAAAATTTTGTGAGTCAATTTTGATTATATTAAAAGGTAACTGCTCTACGAAGTAGCAACTCTCACGAAAATTCTTATTGCGGTCGGATACAAAAAATAGATCGAGGTGATCCAAATTTGCTACAGTTAATTTTTTTTAATGTCAAGTTACTATCATGATATAATTTTCGTCATGAAGCCTTGACAATTATACCTTTTTGTACAGTTTTCGTTATATGAGATGGGGTTCAAAAATTGTTCCAGCCTGTCCAAAGTTTTCATACCTCTTTGGAATGCCGAAATACTACTACTTAGTCAATTTTGCCGAGAACTTTTGTAAATTGTAATTTTTTTCCATATAACGGATTTTCAGAATAGGACGTTATATGGACGATGTCGTCGAAAAAGTGGATCGATCCGAACCATTTCCAATAGCGTTCCTCCTTGGGCCAAAACACGTCACTTTACCAAATTTATCTCAAAAATTGCGACCTGTTAGCAAGGGTAGCGCCAAAATATTGTTCAGCTCTGCTCTAAAATATTAAAAAGGCTATCTTTTCATTTTGGAAACTGTATTAATTAATGGAACAAAATCAAAATCAACTTAAACAAGTAAAAGATTATTTAAAATTCCAATTTTCGTTCATTCTGTTCAATAAATTTAGCTCTTAAACTACTTTCCAATTTGCGCAAAAATTCTTCGAATACGAGAACTCCCTTAAACATACCGGTTTTTTTATAGTCTTTGATATGATCCTTTTCATCTTGTTCGTCGTACTGTTTTGACTTCTCATCAAAAACATTGATCTCACGAAGTAGTTGCGTTATCGTTGGTACTGTGGACGGATTCAATTTAGCCACAGCACTCGGATTGAAAGGTATTGATACTCTTCCACTTGACGGATGAATACAAAAGGGGGACTTTAGGAGATGGTTAAAGCCTTTCGTTACATTTATATCTAATCTCGGGTACAAACAGGCAAATTGGATTTCCTCAACAATATTTTTAAGACGCCGCGACCACACACTACTGCTCGAATTGCAGCGCATCGATTTTGCATAACGCTTAAAATTGTCCCACACATCAACGGAATGATGACCCTCTTTCAAATTGTTCAACAAAAACTGTTCACTTTCTTTACGCGCATTTTCATCGCTTATGAAGAGGCACAACTTAGTTATACCTTTACGTCCAAGAAAAATATCCTGATCATGGAGTATGATTTCTTCAAATAGAGGTTCTATAATCTTAAAAGCTCTCTTCACGCTGCGAGCCATTTTGTCACCTATATTGGCACGGGGAACCATTATGCCATCTGTCATAATATGGGAAACTAGCTGAAAGTATTCAGCAACCGCACTTCGCGCCGCGGTATCCAGATGGCGTGCTTGATAATCACAAACCCAACAATGAATGCCGCGGCGTCCAGAAAATACCCACAAAATATGTTCATAATTAAAGTCGTCACGTAATCCCACATCCAGAATACGACAAGCAATTACCATAAATTTCCAACATTTCTGGCACACATTCGTGCCGCCACAACAAGTGCGTACGTCATCGTAGTCTGTCATATCAATATCAAAGACCAGTTCTCTTTGTACCGGTGTCATAGTAGCAGCAGTTATTCGATTTTTGGGTCTTGTGCTCATAACAGCACCTATATCAATTTTGTAAGGGTTCTTGGAACAAATTTCCTTCTCGAGCTCAATTTGCGTTTCAAAGCACAAGAAACGTATATAAATGTCATCGTGCAGAGTGAAGGAGATTTCCCGGTTGGTAAATATCTTCTCTTCAACTAAAACAAAAAAAATAAACATTTATAAGTAAAGAGTTCACGTCCAATAACTTTAGACCAACTCACATAGACTGTACGAGAGCCAACGATAGAATGGTTTATGTGGAAATAAACGTTTGTAGTAAACAGGTAACATGAAAGGTAACAATGTGGAATCATACAAAGTTTCATCTTTTTTCTCATGCATCACCTCCTTCTGATGATTGTCCATATGATCCTTTTCCATTTTGAACTTAAAATAAAGATTTCCAAATTTTATTATAGATAAAATTGCGTTTTTTTTTTTTTAACGTAAAATTAATAAAATATTCAAACACATATTAATGCTGTTTTTAATAAATTGTTTATTTTAAGGGTAAAGAAATTTTAACTTATAAGAAAGTTGAATGGATTCTTAAAGTAAACTAAAAAAAATAAATATGTTACTTGTGGAGGAACCCTTTCATTCGAAATTCAATACCACCAAATATAACTAAAATATTTTGAGATTTTTCTCAACATACTTTGCCTGCACGTTGATGCAGACACTTTATTCAGATAGTCAAGGTCAGAAATAGGGTTATGTAATTTAATGCTGTCGCGTCTTTTAATACAGGCGTCGTTTGTGCACTTATTTAATTAAAGAAAAGTCCTCAATATTTGTTTGAAAAAACATGTTAATAGCATTTTTCGTCAAACGATCTCACGCTACGGTGAGACGTATATCCTGCATTTTGTGATGCTGCCAGATATCGTCGGAGGGTTTGGCCGGAGTCATGCCATACAATGTTACCGAGGCTATATGATTGTTTGGCATTACTTCAAATATTATATCCTGATAACCGTAGCAAAACGTCGAACCAAATGGATTGGCTGTGTTAGTAGAACTGGCTCGATGTAGAACTACTGGTCTCTCTGAAGGAACCATGGCAGCACTTATTTCATTCCATTTCGAATATGCATTAATTGTTATAGGACTATCGGGAGAATCACCATAGGAAGCCCTTGACCCACCATCAAGTGAACGTTCAGGCTGTAACTGGAACTGAAACTCGCATCTATGGTACATGTTGAAATTGAAATGACCGGGATAGTTGGTATGCAATATAAATTTTTTACATGTCTGAGTACGGGCGTCGAAAAGTACGTCGATGCCCAATGTGAAATAGTTGAAAAAAATGTCACTGCGTTTACTTTGAGCTTGACGGTTAACGCTAGACGAATGTATCTTCATCTTGTCTTCGCTTTTAAAAAAAATACGATTTGGAGCTCCTAATTGAGTAGTAACATCTTGACAACTATCTCCAAACAAGATTTCCTTGGTGAAGCATTGTTTTCGAGGTTCCAAAGAGCGACCTGAACCTTCAGTAAACAATTTTAGTTTAAGCCCTTTAGTGCACCCAAGTACGGAACGTAAAACTGTTGCTGAATCTAAATACAGCTGCCGATGATAGCACGACAGAGGCAGCGGAGGGGTTTTATTTTCTGCTACGTTGCTGCCCGCGTAGAGTGACATTTTAGAAACAACAGGCGATGCACCGCTTAGAAATACCAAGGATCCCAAACCATGGGCATAACTGGCGTGTAATTTACTGTCTACAGGAAAGTAGAAACTTAAACCTCGAAAGTGCAAAGCAAAAAGTTGCTTAGCAGCATCGTACACTCCTGGATGGGTAGCACCAAAAGAATGCTCAATTTGCTCTATTGAAGGCAGTACTTCAGGAGAATTGAAATAAACTCCGCCGTACTTTAGTTTCACCAATTTCATGTTGAAAACTTCAATGATCTTTAAGCGTTGTACCACAGGATCAAATATCAAACGTAAACCATCTTGTGGCAGGTTAATAATAATATCCACTCCTAATGGATTAGTATCCGAATAAAGGACTTGAACACCTTTAATGATGCCGACCTGCGATTGTATGATGGCAATTGCTTGAGAAAAGTGCATACCCAATACAAATTCCCAAACATCGCAACCAAGTGATATCTCGGGCACTATTTCCAGATCAAGCATGTTGTATAATCTATAATGGCAAACATGTGATGAATATTCACAATTCCTTATTATCTTCAAGATCTACCTTTTTATAAGTTGGCAGACACTGGCAGTGATTTGAAAGTTCTTTTTTTTTTGTTTTTTTTTTTTTTTAACTAACTAACCAAGGTTACAGCTCTTCTCGTAGAATATTTATTCTGATTATATTGTTCTTTGTTTTGACCCCTCCTTGATAACAAAACAAAAAACGCAATTATTATCAATGCACTTTTTAAAATTTGAATATTTTTTCTAATTTACTGTGTTCCGCTTACCTTTAACAAAATCTTTTGAAATAACTCTACTTTAGATTGTTAATTTAAATTATTTATTTTAATATTTACGAAAGCAATTTATTTCGTCGTATCTTTTACTGCGTTCATGTTTTTTTTATTTACCGTACGATATATGTTTCATTAATGAAGTAATCAGCTGAGGTGATACAAATGTTTAAACTTGGCTGTATTTTTTGCTAATTAAAAAATCATATATGGCAGTATATCTTCCCAAATCTCGTACTTGACAACATTCATAAAAGCAATGAATCAAGGGAATAACTAAAGATCACGTCCATAAAGTAAAATTAAAGTTTCGGCTCATAAACTTATATATTTTACAATATATATGTGTCTATACTGGACGCAAACGCTTTTAAGACAAGCCAAAGTTAAAATCTTTTCTCGTTTATAAATGTTTTACGAATCTACTTTTCAAGTTGTTAACCTACACGGTTATACTAAATCTCGATTAATTTAACAAATTTTGAAAAATGATCTCCTTCCAGAATGGTTTATTCACGAGCAATATTATGCATTTCATTTCGAAGGTTTAAGGTGCGTATTCAGTTCGGCACATAATACTAATTATTCACCTAAGATTCTGATCGATTGACAAGAGCACAAAATCGTTCATTTTGATCTTTAACAGTACGCCCTTACAAATATTAATTTACTTAATAAAAAATTGAGCTTGATTGTAAAATTTGCTCTATTTCTTAAAAAGTGTATTTCTACATATTTAAAACAAAAATTGCTTAATATTGAAAATTGAACGTTTTCTTCACACTTTCCACATACAAAGTGAATTGCAAATGTACAGAAAATGCAACAAGCGTTTCATTCCGTTCGCGCCTTTTTCACGCAAAAACATAAAACCTCCCAATATTACCTTTTATTGATCTTCAAGTAGGCGAATATTATTTCTTAAAATAGAGAAATTGTTTTATACATTTATATTAATATGTCTTTTACTTTCTTCACTTAATTATATTTATATTTATTATTTGTAAAACTTGCTCATATCACTTTACAACACAAAAACCAATTTCTTTTTATCGATCAGCAAAGAACAGAGGAAAAAGGAAAACCAGAATATCACAGTTGCCACCTTATAATTCATAAGAGAGCAAAATTTCAATTTGCCAATCATAACATCCTGAAACGATCGCACGATTCATTCTTATCACATTTAACACAACAGAATTTTGAATCAGTGCAAATGTTGGCTGCTAAACAGTAATAACAATAGACGTGCTGACAACCCATATAATGAGGTAAAGTAGGTCGTTCGTCGCAATAAGCGCAAGTTGTTGTAGGTAACACCTTAGGCTTTATATCTCCTACGAAGTTTGATCTAATAGAATCGGTTTTCTGTCGTCGCTTAAATAGAACATTCATCTGACGTTGTAACTTACGAAAATTTATGAGAGGCAACAGCAATCCCAAAATTTCCTGCAATAGGGAATAGTTTAAAAATAAATTCAAATTATTCACAGAAACAAATCACCATAAAGCCGCCCCATAGTAATTCACGAGTTAAATATTTATACCCGATTTCTCTACGTTGGTTGTGTCTCAAACTGATGTAATCCAAGCCCAATAAGAAATCAACTAGAGTGGGTTTTCGTCCAGTTTTCAGAAAACGGAAAAAATTAAATATCGACAAAGTCAAAACAGTGCTTTCTCCCCACTCAATTACATTACGTAACCAATTAAAATTGGCGCCCAATCGTCGTTCTTCAATGCTTTTTATATAACTGGGTAAAATGGTCAAACAAAAGTGTAAAGCCAGTTTAGACAGAGTCAAGCGCTCAGGATCGTAAGACAAAACTAAAAGTTGCTGACCAAATGTTGAAGAACATTTTCCAATCGAACCGATCCAAATAGCAGTTTGCACAATAAGGTCCAATTCCGGTTGAATTTTGGAAGATAAATTTGGCTGGAAGTGTAATGGCTTTATAAGAATTGCGTACTAAGATAATGTTCTCAAGTACTCACGAAAACCGCTTGCAAATTTTCCAAGATGTTTTCTCTAATCAAACGGGTTATATCAGTATTTAGGGCGATAACATCAATCTGTAAAATAACTTGTTAAGACTACAAGAATTGGGGGTTATTCAGCGCAAAAATACCTGATTCACTCGAGGTACATATTGATTTTTAATAGCTACCATCTTGTAGTTGTGTTTGCGTACCTATTTACTGTTTTGAATCTGTATTGTCATGTGTAGAAATTTCGTTGCCAGATTGTTTATAGCTGCAGGTATCATTGACAAATGTTATGTACGCAATATCTGATATTACGATCTCGTGATATGTGCTATTAGTAGGCAATCGCAAAAGGAAAAACAGGTAGAAAAAAAAAAAGCAAAGCTCATTTGTAGGGTAATCATGCTTTTGAAAATTAACTTTCATTGGCGGCCAAGCTAGATCTATTGTTTCACAAAATAACACAATTGTTAACTTCGTCAATTTAAAAAATGCACTACATAATTATTTTCTTACATTCCTTTTTTTATAAGTTTCTTTGTTATACAGTTTCTTTCATTTTACATAAATTTGACCTTTTTTCCATTTTTCAAAAGCTATATAAAATATGTAAGTTGATTAATTTATTTTTTCTTTTTTTGAATTTATTTGCTAAATGTTTGTCCGCTACTTCAGGAATAGTGGTTTTTTTGTTTGTTTATCAAAGAAGAGAACCAGCTGCTTCTTTACAGATTTGGACAATAAAAATTTTCTTTTTCCTCCTGTTTTTTCTTTTACACGTGAATGATAGCATCGATAGTTTTACGAATTTGCAAACCAAAACGAACGAAAGTTAATTTTCAGAAACATTTTTACACTTCAATCGATGTAGTGTGAAGCCTGGTACTAGCTTCGCTATTAACTTTGTTTAAATAATAATTATGGCCATCCTTCTGGTATCAATTATTTTTCTTGACCCGACCCAATTTAGTTAAGGAGGTAGAACAAGCTATACTTAGCGTCAAACGAGAAGTATTAAATTGCTAAGCACAATACTGCATTTGTATATTGCATCACCCATGAACTGCTAACGAAATATTTTTTTGTGAGCCTTGTGTAAAATTTTAACTTCGTCCGCATTTGCATTCAAAATTACGTGGAAACACAGAAGGAAGGAGAGAGCGAAGTATGTATTTGTGGAAACAAAAGAGCATCATAAGTTTAATACTTTAAAATTTAAAGTCGACATTTAGATTTTTAATTAAAAAAAAAAGAAGATATACGGTCACCTACTTAGGCTACTATCCGTATGCATAAAAATAAATACAATATGAATATATGGATGTGACTTATGAATAAAAATTAAATTACAATTGCAAGTTCTAGAATAAAAAAGTGCAAGAGAGACAATGCGGTTACGAAATACAAATTACAAGTTGGCTCTCCAGCCCCAAAGAAGTTCAAAAAAAGTTGAAAGGGCAATGATTGCAGAGAATGCCACAAGGTAGCAGCATTAAATGAATGGAAGTTTTTCATAGCCCTAACGAATATTTCAACGTATCGTTATTTATTGTGGACGAGTTATGACTATCCGCCTTTTCTGAGCGGCCTTACTTTTGCTCCTTTTTTTCACAACTCCATTTATGATTTTCATGAATTAAGAAGCTTGTGTTAGTGCAAAACTGATATTGAAGGATTTTATTATTCTTCTGTTTCGGAACACGTTATTTGATAACAACAAGTGACTCAAACCTGGACAAGCACAACACAAGCACTAAATTTACGACCGCTGATCAAAAAAAATTCCTAAATAACTAACTAATTCAGTGTTAAGTAGTGCAACTAATACAATTTTGGAAATTAAAAGTTAGAAGTAAGTGCTCTTTCATAGTAAATCAGCTAAAAACTGCACTTAACCCTGCAAAAACTCTTTTCCAGTTGAGTGCAGCGCTGCATTTAACTATAAGCAGCATTCAGTTAAGTGCTATGTGCAGCACAGTTGCTAAGTGCAGCGCTGCCACTAGGGTGTAGAACAGTTACTAAGTGCAGCGCTGCAGCTAGGGTGTAGAAAAGTCGCTAAGTGCGGTGCTGCATTCAGGTAAGTGCAGCATAGCCGCCACGTGCAGGACAGTCGCTAGATGCAGCGCTGCAGCTGGGGTGTAGAACAGTTGCTAAGTGCAGCACTGCAGCTAGGGTGTAGAACAGTCACTAATTGCAGCTAGGGTGTAGAAATGCAAGGAAAGTTTCATCCGAAACGCATTATTAAAATGGAAAAATATACGTAAGTTGAGGGGCAGGCAGTTATACCGTCGTGCATCTTGGACTACAAAGAACTGCTCAAAGCGGCTGCGTCTAATTCTAGGGATAATAATTTGCGGATTCCTGGGAGATCGAGTAAAGAAAAATAAGGAAAATAACTGGAGTGATTGATCTTATTTAATAACCTTAAAAAAAAACAGTAGGTTACGATGTAAGGTAAACTACCTGAAAATACAGTTAAGGAATAGCTTGACATATTCAGAGTTGTGGGCACTTCTAAGTAAACAAAATTTTGTTGTCAAATATTTAGTCGAAATTTTGGAAATATTTACATATCACAATACACAATATTGGATACCATTTAAATTTGAAAAAATAAAATTTCTGAGTACGAACATTTTATTAAAGCATAATCGAACCTAACTAAATGGCTGATGAAGAAAATTTGTTAAAAGAATTAGAGAAACTACAGATCAAATCTGCACCTCATTTTATATCATCAAAGGATGTACCAGTAGGAATGAGTCCATTTTCGGATAGTAATAACGTGAAGACATCTGCTCTTCGACAGCCGGTTTTGAATGGATGCGAGTTTCGCATGCGAAAGAGTGTTTTAGATAGATTAAAAGCGACTAAAGGAGTGCAAGTTCCAAAAAAGTCGATTGCAACGCCAGCAGGATATCGCCGAACTATTTTACCTAAACGAGTACTTAAAGCTTTTCATTCTCAAGGATTGGTGGGTCGACGGTATTTCTCGAGTAATTCATCTAATGTGTCCTTTGAACATCATAATTCACACCATAATGGTGTTTCAAAATCTGGCATATCGGATTTCCACGAACTAATCACGGAATGCTGCAATGTATCGGGAGATAACGACGCTAACCAAAAAAAATTAGATAATCGCATTTTAAAGAATTTTACTACTGTGCCACCATTTGCAAAAATAAATATGTTGCCACTTAATAGATCATCTGTTCGAATATATACTCGATCACGTCCTAAGCAAGTCTGTTGTCGAATTTCGAGCACAACCAATTTATTAAGAGAGCGTATGCACAGTGGTACCAATCTGCCATTGCCCAAAAGCACTGCATCGGATCCAAACAACTTGACAAATGTTAGTCATGGCAATTCATGTCCTCAACAGGCTGGCAGTACCGCCACTTCTATCTGCGATGATACGACTGTAAATGAGTTGGCGAGCTATTTTGATACTTTTGTTCATATCTCATAGAAAATGTCACCAATGGCGGAAATGATGTACAGTTAAAGTTGTCTCGTTCGTTAAGAGTATACATAAATTCAAGCAAAGGATATCCAGAAAACAAAATTCATTTTATTGTACACACAACTTTCCAGTTCTTATACTTATATATTATATATATATATATATATATATATATATATATATATATATATATATATATATAATTTGTATGTAAGTGCTTGTTTTTCCTTATAAAACTATTTTGTACATTTTTTGAAAATTTTCATTATTCATATCAATTATTTTGTTAAAACTATTTTCTGGTAATAAAACAATACAATGTTGATTTGGAACTGAAACTGCAGATTTTGATTCCAAAAAACTTTTTTACTGTTACGAGTACGTGTGCTTATATAATTAAAATAAAAATGCTAACAACAGTTATTCGTACAATCTTACCTTTAGCTGTTTAATAACGAACATTTTTGGGGCCATACATAGCCCTAAGCTCATTTGCAATATCACAGACGGCGGATAAGATACCGAATCAAATCAAAGCAGCATGAACGACAATAAACAAAGAAGTGTCTACCTTAACAGCAACTATGCTTAAATTTTGCCCAGGTATCAATAATAATAATGGTAACTATTTCATCAACTCCAATAACTAAACACCGATTTAACTGCGTTTTATACATCATAAATAGTCCCATTTGTGTCTAGCATTTCAGCAACAACAGCAAATACACTATAATCACGCTTGTTTTTCTTATTTATTTGGATGAGGAATTGAAATGTCTTTAGTGATTTAGTTATAGATAGTAACCATAGACCAGTAACTGTATCTTCACCAACTGAATACTTCTCTCGCATGCTCGTTCGTAACTCTCCCCTATGCCCCCTATAGTTCACAAGATAACAGAAACGTATTACAAATGATAGAAATTGATTATTTAGGAAATTGTTTAAAAATATTGTTCAAATTTGCTTTCCAGTGGAATTTGTCTCGTATACGATCACGAAACAGATATTTCTTATTTGTTAGTCCAGCTGTGTACTCAAACTGATAAGTACTTTCCTTCGTGGTTGTATGCGTTATAGAGACAAAGCGTCATTTTATCTGATATCTGACTTATTTGCGCCTTAAGATGAGTAGTCGTGAAAATGAATATATGAATAGTCCGTAAAAATGATATATTTTGTATAGTCCGTGAAAATGAAGTGCCTGAAGTGAACTAAATCTATATACATATATATAAATGTATCCTCAAAAAATAATTTAGGTGTTCTAAATATGCAAATACTTAAAACTTCTATAAAATGCATTCATACAACTTTATTAGTACTTCTTTATATTGAATTAAGTTTTTCCTTTTATACCTACCACTAACACCCAAAACGAAGCTTCAAAGATCCTATAAAATATATATATTCTTGGTCAACGTGAAACTCTGAATTGATGTCATGTTTGTCCGTGTGTGTGTAGTGTCTGTTGTTGGCACTCTTCTGGGCGCAAAAATGAAGATATCATCTTCAAAGTTGGTACGCACGCAGTTTGATATTGGCATGCAGTTTGGTATTGAAAATAGGTCAAATTGATGAGAGCAGAAGACCGGAGTAGAGCATACACTGAACGCAATTTCGTTTTTCTTAAAAATTTACGGATTTTTGCACGTTTCTCAGAAATTATAAAAGTTAGAGGGCTGATATTTTGAACCTTTACTTTACAAAATAGTATACTCTTCACACGCGAAAATGGAAAAAATCGCCAGAAACAGAATGTTTACAACTATTTTATACGTTCCTCAAATGAAGATATACTACCTGCCTAAAAATGGGTTAATTCTAAAGTGAATATGGTAGACATCTCGATTACTTTTTTCTTAATAATACCAGTATCAAATTAAAGATCTAAGAGAGTATAATACGAAAAGCATAGTGGTGGGTATGCGATCGTTCAACCCATATAATTCGGTATTTGCGTAGAATTTGCCATAATTAAAATTCATCATTCATTCAATCTGCATAAAGGCCTTCAAAATAAGATATATTAAAATTGCATAGATGATCTTCATTTCGTTATGATTATATAAAGACTGGGATATTTGACCTTGATGTGAAAATGGTATTGAAACATTGACATGATTCAGAGGATAAACAATTACAAATTTGAAACTGATCAAGAATTTATGTACTTTATGGGGTTTTTGAAGCTTGCTTCCGTACCTTATAAAAGTATATAAAAAAAAAACTAAAATTTTGACACACCATAACATTGGATAGGCGTGATGTATTTTCTCTATTTATACACAGGTGCTACACGATCGTCCATAGAATATACGTATAATGCCTGCAATACTTTATGAGTAATGAGTAAAAAGCAATTTTTTATTCCTTTATTCCTGTGGGCGTGTCCTTCGATCAATTTAAGTAATTTTCAATATCAATCCGCGTGCATGAATTTTCAATGTTTCTGCCAAATTGGAAGTTAATTGCTTGATTGTGGCGAGCAGGAGAATGTTTGTAGCAGACATTGCACAGACGGACAAACGGGCATGTTTAAATCAATTCAGAATTTGATGCTGATCAAGAGTATATATGTACCTTGTGGGATCGATCTGGGCGTTGTAAATGTTTTGACAAAATAAGTATACCCCTCATCCTTCAATGATGGGTATAAAAATGAACTATATGATCTTGCGTACGTACTTTTTTTATTATACCGAAAGCAACGCGACCGTAACTGTTAATATGAATTATTATCGCGTTATGTTCGTCAACTATTTTTCGAAAATATTTGGAACCAGAAATTAGAGTGAAAAGTCTTCAACTTGCTGTTATAACAATCAAATTATTGAAGACGAAATTTCGTAAGGGGCAGATTAAGTGAAGAAAAAAAGTCCCCTAAAAACATTAATTTAATTTCCATTTTGTATATCTGCCACCGAAACGTGAGGTTATACTGATTTTGTCATAATATTTGCAACATCCAAAAGAAAGGCTTGTTTTAGAGATAAAATAAAGGCTATATACATGCTTGATCAACGTGAAATTCTGAATTGATTAGGCCATGTCTGTCCGTTTGTGTGGTGTTTGTCGTTGACACTCTCCTGTACGCAAAAACGATGATGTCGGCTTCAAATTTGACAGACACATTGAAAGTTTCGTATGCTGGTTGGCATTGAAACCGAGGCAAATTGGTCAGAGCACATGCACAGAGCTCAGAGCGTAAACACAACGCAACTTCGTTTCTCTAGGCAAAAATTTTAGGTGTTTTTGCTTATTACTCACGAATTATCGAAGACAGAAGGATGAAATTTTCTACATTTACTTTACCGAAAACGTTACAGAGTGACCTAAGAGCTTTTAAACCTCGAGTGGAAGCAAGGAAGCAGTACACCGATGATTTAAAAGTGGAAAATAGCAACACTGGGCTTGATATATGCGGCCCGGGCTTTCAAAAGGCAACAGTGCCTTCAAAAATCGAATGATCTACACTATCACGATAATGTGCGCCTAATATGGATGGCTGACCATTCGGATACTGAGAGTATTGAAAGGGCGGAATATCTAGTTGACAGGAAACCCCGATGGATCATGGCAGGT